CCCCTGGACTGCAAGGAGAACAAACCTATCCATTTTGAAGGAAATCAACCCTGAGTGCTCACTGGAAGGACAGATCCTGAAGCTGAGGCTCCAGTACTTTGGCCATCTCCTGGGAAAAGAAGACTCCCTTGAAAAGACACTGATGTTAGGAAAATGTGAAGGCAAGAGGAGAGGGGGACGGCAGATGGTTGGACAGTGTCATCGAAGTTACCAACACAACTTTGATCCAACTCCCGAAGGCAGTGGAAGACAGGAGGGCCTGGCGTGCTCTGGTCCATGGGGTCACAAAGAGTCGGACACGACTAAACAACAACAAAAATCTTGCAGAATAAAACCGGGGTCCCACCGCCAACATCATACCAATAATTAAATTACCTTAAAAACAACCCACCCACCCACCAAACTGCAAAAGACATTTGTAGAAAACAAATCAAACCATCTAGAATGAATTGCTATCCTTCCAACGAAAGCGCAGGGCGGATCTGCTACGGGGCAGGTCTTGAGGGGCATTTATTTGGAAGAAAACCAGCTTGTGGCTACCCCCCCGGGGTCCGTAACCAGCCTCGGGACGGACCTCGCCTTAAGCTCCACCAATCTCCACCCTCCTGATGGGACCGTCGGCCTCTCAGTGGTAAGGATGGAAAGGCACTCTGCACATGGCTAGAGGCACTTTCTTCCCAATGCCAATTCTACAGCGAAGCCCTTGCGACTGAAACCTCGACGGCCGTGCGACCCATAGGAATATTTGGTCTTGCGGGTTCAATCACATTTTCAGTTTCTGTCCCCCAGCCCAGCCCAGCGTGTCTGCCCGCCCTCGGCCTGACATCCTACCATGCGCGCTATCTTTAAGGCTCCCCTCAGGGTGCGCGGGAAGGCTCGGTTCAGCTCCACCATGGTCGCCTCTGAGGGGAAGACCGAGCTGCTGCTGCTGCTGCTGCCGCCGGCGCCGCAACCGACGGGGCAGGCGGGCGGTGCCGGAAGGGGCGCCCGTTCCTGAGCGCTCGCTTCTTTGCTTTGCCTGCCCGGTGGCGTCGAGCGCCCGCTTCCCCTTTCCGCCGAGACGGGGGACTCTCCGCTGAGGAGCCAGAGAGGCAGGCAGACGGCCTTCTAACCCTCTCAGCTGGGCTAAACCTGTCGCCTCCGCCCCTGGCCTTGGCCGGGTCTCGGGTTCAAATCCTCCCTCAGTCACGACCCTCAAATGGTGGCTTCGTTTCGCGCCGCCTCCCAAGACTGGTCGTGAAACTGGACGAGTGTCTTTGGGCCTGCCTCCGAGGACGGTTGTGAGGACTGAAAACCGAGGAAAGAGGGAAATAAAAGGTCCCCTCATCTTCTCCTCACAGAAGACGGAGTGTACAAATGTAGTGCCTTAATAGCTAAAAGCCATTGGAATGCATGCATTTTGCCCGTAGTTCTTTTTTTAATTTCAAACTCACCTGAAATTAAGTCATCAGGCATTTTCATTGGCCTTCATTCTCAAACCAAAGTGTACCCCCTGAAGGGAGTAATTGTTTTGGACTGACAGAAAATAAAGAGTTGATTATTTTGGGCAGTAGTATTTTCTCCTCACATTTTGAATGTGAATACTTATCAAATAATTCCAGGGAGTAAGCATTCTCTGGAAAGCGCATCATTCTCTGTGTTAACAAGAATAATATATATATTATTCCTGTTAAACACAGAATAATGTACTTTCCAGAGAATGCTTACTCCCTGGAATTACTATACTGTATATGTATGCAAGTAATTCCAGGAAGTAAGCATTTTCTCTATATATATTTAAGTGCCTGGGATGATAAGTGGACACATAATCTAAAAAATCAAACTTTTTTTTAGCACAGAGCTGTCATGTTAACAGTTTCCAGTTGTGCCAGTTAATAAATACTGAAAGTGGAAAACATTTTGAAAAACTGTCTCACTCATTGCTGAGCACTACATATCTATTCACATACACACAGAGAGTATCTGCATGTGTAGATTTCTATGTATGTTTGTGTTAACAATCTTTATGTATGAGACAGATAATTATGGGAGCACTCATTGCACTGACTGTACAATGGAGGCAAGGTTTAATCTTGAATCTCGGCATAGTTATTTAAAATATCTTTCTGTTTAATTACGCAGTCAGCAATTATTGTGGACAGATGCTTTGCTTATCCATACCTGCCAGCTGAGGAGAGCACTTTATTCATAAGATGAAGTGGATTTTAGTCAAAAACATTTTATGCTAGTGTTAGATTTTAAGATTTTTCCTAAAGGTTTTCTACCAGATTTTTTTTCCTTTTTGTTCAACAATCTAATTTACTCTGGTGGTGACAGAATGATGTATATTATATGACAAGTTTGAAGAAAGACGTTTTATTTTTCTGCTGTAATATGCATTAGACCAAGATGTCTACCCCCCAGAAAAATTATACATGGTTTTCTCCCTTCCAAACCTCAGCAACAACTTATGCTAGCTATATGCTGCTGTTATTTGCAATAAACCTCTAATTTTGCCCCCTGAACATGGCAATATCTAGGATGCTTTTTATTTTTGCCTCCCTCCCTGTGAATCAGTAATAATTTACTGATACCTGTTGTTTAGTGATAATACCTGCTCATCTTTTAAAATGTGTCTTCAGTGTGTAAATTTGCATAAGTGTGTAATTGTAAGAGCCATCAAACTGCTACAAAAGTAGAGCACACGTTTGGAGGAGAGGTGGCTGGATTTTTGGCATTCAGGACAACCTCTTCGGGATATGCCACTTTCATGTATATTTTGTATATGTCACAAAATAGAACTAAATGGTCATAACAGTGTGACATAGGAGTTTTTTGGGGGTGGGTGGGAGAAGAGATAATTTGTTGGTTGTTGTTGTTTGGCAATTATCCAGACCCCAGTCCAGGATGCTACAACATTAATACATCTTCACTTATGGTGAGGACAAACACTTGTCTCTGTAGCAGCACAAGTCTTTGGCACTAGTCCAGCTTCCTGTGTCTCACAGCGGCCTCACCAGATACCTCTGGGAAGCCCATGAGATCCCTGCCTGCTGATCTCCCTCCCCTGCATCTGGTGTGTTGAGGTCTCTTCTTTTTAAGCCTGGAGATTATACATCCCCATCACGGCTTGCAACCTGCAATGGACTTTTCCTCCACAAAAAAACCCTTCCTCTCACATTTCAGTACATATCTGCACATGGCAACACAAAAGCATCTTATAGTTCCAGACAGCACTGAAATATCACAACAGTTTGAAATAGATTTGCAAGAGATGCAGGACTGGGGGTTCAAAGTTAAGGCATCCTATTTTGACTTGATCTGATTATGCTAAATTGATAATTTCAGGAGGCAGAGGTGGTGATCCTTTGGCATTTCAGATTTTTTTTTGGACGACAACTCCCAGAATCCCCAGCATATACTGCCGATGATAAAGGTCTGTGGGAGTTGTAGTCAAAAAAAAAAAAAATCTGGCATGGCAAAGGCTTGCCCCCTCTACCCCTGGGGCATAACTACATTGATGTCTTGCCCCAATTTTGCTTGGCCATTTCCTGGGGTGGTGGCGGCTAGCCAGTCCTTTCTGCTCTTGCACCCCACCCTATTCAAGAGTCTGTGCCAAAGGGAATCGGGGGGGCGGGCAGTCTTTGGCCCTTCTGTCCATAGAAGTCCAGGCCAGCTGATGCAACCTACAACTCCAGTACCAGGCTCTTAAAGTTCACTAGACTTTTCTTCCAAAGCCTTTTGTGTGTGACGGACTACGACTCCCACAATCCTTTGCTATCCCCTCTTGGCTCCTGGGAGTTGAAGTCCAAAACATCAGGCAAGCCAAAGCAGCTCGACGTCTGGTTTAACTCGCAAGGGCAGCCCAGCCGACACCTTGGAAAGGCTTTCCTCCCTGCCCTTGCCGGGCTTTGACTTTCCGACACGAGACAGGAGCTTGCCTCACGTACACAGGAAGCAAAGGGTGGAGAGAAGCGGAAGGAAGGAAGGAAGCCAGGCAGGCAGGCAGCCAGGCGGTCGGCGTTGCGCTCTCTGTTGCGTCTTCTCCCTTCTCCTCCTCGGAGCGGCGGCGGCTGGCAGATCCTCCCGGAAGGCTGCCTCGGGACATGGGCGATGTCTCCATCCCTCTGCCACCTGCCCTTGCTGGGTCCCGCGTGCATCCGAGCGGCCCGGCCTGCCCTCGGTTTCTGGAAGGGGAAAGCCGGGCCCTCCGACCTCCTGCCGCTTCTTCTTCCGCTGCAGAGAGACCGAGGCCGCCGGGGCATGGCTGCCGCCTCCTCTCCAGAAGCCCCCGGTACGTCGCTGCTCTTTTGACGACCTGCACGGCCCCGTTAATTATTCCGGAGCGCCCAAACAAAACCCTGATTTTATTTCTCCCTCCCCCCCGAGCTTGTTGGGAAGGCGCGAGCGGAAACGCTTCGTAACTTGCACGCCGTTTGAACCTGCAATCCCGTTCCCGCCGCGTGTTTTGGAAGGAAGTCCGCCCCACGGAGGTTTGCGGGGCTTGCTTCCCGGTCGCGACGTGCACGTGGGAGCGCTGCCTCCATCTCCCGCCTTGAGGCTGCGGCTCTGAAAAAGGGCCCGAGCACCGCTGCCTCGAACCGGGCAAGAGCTGCTTTCGTACAGCCTTGCCCAGGACTGTAACCAGTAGCGTTGTACAGTACAGTAGTTGTTATGTGTTGTCAGACCTCTAATGGGGCTTTCAAGGCAAGTGAGATATTGTACTGTATACAAGGAGTGGTTTTGCCAGTTCCCTTCCCCCAGTGAGTATCCGTGACTTGAGTGGGGATTTGAATCCAGGCTTCCCGATTCCAAATCTGTCACTCTGTGCATTAATTACACCACACTGGGTATCGTGATACAGTACAGTACTTTTATTTTAATGCAATGGGTTCTCAGCTTTTGGCTTTTCAGTGGATCTGAGATTTCAGGGTTGATTCTTCAGGCTTTAGACTTCAAATCTCAGGGAAGGAGATGCTAACAAACGGACAAGTCTGATTTTGGGGGTAATTCTTCTGGCTTCAAGACATAGTACAGTACAGTATTTAGACACGCTAAAAACGCAGTAGAGATGCTGCTGCTGGAATTCACGCCTTGGCTTTTAAATTAGCCATAGAGTTTCTGCATTGTCTCACATGCGCACCATTTTGTAACTGTTCCTGAATAGCCCACATCTGTGACGTAACAAGGGCCTAGTTCAGCTTTCTGTTTCCTGCAGTGGCTAACTTTGTGTCTCTGAGAAACCGGCATCTCTGTGACCATTAAAAGTAGGATCGGGACAGTGAATGTTCATTGTTCCCTAGGAACTTATGTTCCAAAGTAGATTGTGGTGGAATTAGGAAATTTATAGAGTTGCGTATTGTGGTGTTCACAGTTCCTGAAATTGAAATGTGTAATATACCCTGAATGAAAGATTTATTACAAGTAGAACCTGCAACAAAATTTTGCAGTGTGAGGTGCTGCATTTCATTTGCACAGCTTACAGATAGTTTTCTGCTGCTGACTCTCCACCCCCCTTCTTTGCTCAGCAGCACCTTCCATTGTAATTTGGCTGTTGGTGTTTTCTTAAAGTATTTTTGCAGAACTTTAGTAGTTCCTATTGGCATACAGCAATATACATGCTTCTCCCCTATATTTTATTCTGTGTTAGTAGGTTAACCCACGTCCAGTGAGCTTCCTGGATAAATATGGCCTTAAACCCTTGTTGGTCTAACATGGCACTTCCCAACCTACCATTTGGATATTTTGGAGTACAACTCTAATCTTCCTTGACTAGGCTGGTTGTAACTGCTAAGATTAGTGATGGGGATATTCATATTTGTATATGAATGATCCCATACAACTGGAGTTAACAAGGGTCTGGCGCCTGGGGCTGAACTGTCCACTCATGTGTCTGGCGGTGGCAGCGGCCCCTCTCTTCCTTCCAATTGCTCTGGAGCGCCGATCAGCTCGCCACTCGGCAGCCTTGGGGAAGAGAATGGCACTTGGGAGCAATTGGAAGGATGAGTGGGGCCGGTGGCGGCAGACGCATGAATGGACGGTCCAGACCCAGGGGCTGGACCCTTGTCAACTCCAGCTGCATGTGGATATTTGTATTTGTATATGAATACCCCCATGTTTAGCTAAGACATATAGTTCTAAATGTATCAAGGATATCAGTTTTGGAAAAGGCTGTTTGAACGCTCTCTATTCAACACTGTGTTTTTCAGTTTTAGTATTGTTAATATTTAAGCATAATGCCTGTGACAGTCTTTAGAATAACTTCCTGATTACTGTCTTTCTTCCCCCACCCTTAAGGGAAACACCAGCTAAATGGAGGACTGAAGAAGACAGTTGTAAGTATGATATTCCCTGGAAGGGTATAGACTATACTTTAAAAATACATAAAGAGACAGCTGTAGTTTGGAGAAATGCCTCTTTTTGTATTATGACATGAAGAATGCTGGATTGGCATGGTTGCTGGTAAAAGGTTGTAATCTAAGGGTCATTGTACATTTTGAAATGTCAACATGCCAAGATAATGAACTTTTAAGCTTGCACAATGGAAGACATAAATAACCCCAATTCTCTTTTAAAAATGCTTACAGAAGGTTGGTATAAGTACTACCATTCTACAGAGGAGGAGGATGAATGAAACTTTCCAGTGAGATCCTGGCTGAGGCTATGACTACATGGGTTCATACTGTAGGAACTACTGCTGATGTAGAACTGATGAATTTGCTTTTATATCTATACGTATGTGTGTATACTTTCTCTCACTCTTGCTCTCATCTGGCCGAAGGCTACTCTGGGTGATTTTCTTTGGGCTTTTAAATTTCACTTTACGATGTTTTTGTTCTACAGCGATTTCGGTGGAACGAATTACCAACATCGTAATGCGAGGCACCACTGTATACTCTCTCTCTCTCTTTCTTTCTTTCACTCACTCACTCTTGCTCTCATCTGGCCAAAGGGTACTCTGGGTTATTTTTTTTCCAATCATTATTTTCTTGAAATCAAGGGAAACGGGTGAAGTGCCAGAGGATTGGAGGAAGGCTAATGTCCCTGTCTTCAGCCTGACATTAATCCCAGGCAAAATTCTGAAACAGACTGTAAAGCTGTCATTGTGCAAGCACCTGGAAAACAATGCAATAATAACTACAAGCCAACACAGATTTGTCAAGAACAAATCCTGCCAAATGAAGTTGATCTCATTTTTGATCAGGTCACCTCCCTGATAGACAGAGGGAATGCTGTAGACATAGTATATCTTGACTTGGGAGCTGTTGCTTACTATCTACAAGCAATGTGCCAGTCCTTTCTACTGAGTTGTTCCTGTCTGTAGCAAATGTGGCCAGCTGAACAAACCGCGAACCTTTGATTCATGCTTTGTTTATCATGATGTGTGAATACAACTGGAGCTGGCTTTCTGGCTTGCCTCTTCCCTTGACAAACCAGACAAATAACTCTAGATAGGTCTCAAACTTGGGCCCCCTGAGGCTGTTGGACTTCAACTTCTAGAAGTCCCAGATAGCATGACCAGTGGTGAAGATGTCTGGGAGCTGTAGTATTAACAACTTTGGAATGGGGGCGGAGACAGAATGGAACCTGTTGAACAATGACGGATGGCATGTGGCCAGAGGACAGGTGTTTTTTACTCAAAATCCTTCCTTTTTCTGCAGAAAATGAATTATAACTCATGAAAGCTTCCAAGAACTATAAATCATGCTTTAAACAAGTTATAAAGCCCTTGCATCATTTAACTCCACAAAACATTGATTTTTCAAAACTGGAGGTAGACTTCCAGGTTTCAAAGCTGGAGGTAGAATTCTGGTTTCATTCCCCCCCCTCAACGCATTTTGGGGCATATGTGACGGTCCCAGGCACTCCTGTACCTGCCAGAGCTGGTCACTCAGCCAGGGTTATTTCTTTGGTTTGTGAGGGATAAGACTTCCATCTTGGTTTGCACTAAACAAACCATTGACTAAAAGTTTGTTGTTTGTTTATCTGCTCTTGGTTGTCTATCTGCTCCTTCACATGGGACTAGCCAACATGCAGCAGCATAATGATGTCAGAATTCAATGCTTCTATTATATGAGCGTTGCTCCTTAGTTTGCTATTTTATATTTTTGAAAAAGCTTCTCCCTCAAAGTTCGTACTTCCCCCTCATGTGTATAGAATGGTGCTGCGCTGGCTGCAGAAGAAAATAGGCTCTTAAAGCATTGAGATTGCTACTATGATTTAAATGTATGATTTAAAAAGTGGGGGAATGAGCATGAGGACCATAGGCCTTTACTTGAAGTCAAAACTTCCTAACAACTGGATGTTAAATATGTACAGAAATATGTGGGTTGCTTGGGAGGGTAAGTGTCTTCAATATTTAAGTGTCATTATAAAAAAATGCTAACTTTGCATATATGTTGCTATTTTTATTTAACATTGCAACCTTAATCGTTTTGGGGTTTTTTTCCACTAGATTTGCATCGAGGGGAACATTGCAAGTGGGAAAACAACATGCCTGAATTATTTTGCTAAAAACACTAGGATTGAGGTGAGGCATTTGAGATTTCTGATAAATTTGTAAGAGTTTTCTGTTTATTGTTTTTAACAATAAAACTAAAACAATGAAAACTAAATAAAAACTAAATAAGAACATTTAATTATGAAGCCTACTTCTCTGGGTAAACCTGCGTAGAATTTAGCTTAAGATGTTATTTGAATTTTGTTTACCTTTAATATATTTGAATTCCTTATGGTGGTGAAAGGTGTGTTGAGAAGGAGCTCGGGTGTGATTGGCTAGCTGTGTTATAACTCTGTAATATAACTGTATATATAGCTGACTATATTATAACTACAAATGATATTTTCTTCATAAGGTAAAGGTAAAGGTTCCCCTTGACAATTTTTGTCCAGTCGTGTCCGACTCTAGGGGGCGGCGCTCATCCCGCTCTTCAAGCCATAGAGCCAGCGTGTGTCCAAAGACAATCTTTCCGTGGTCACATGGCCATTGCGACTTAGACACGGAACGCTGTTACCTTCCCACTGAAGTGGTCCCTATTTATCTACTTGCATTTGCATGCTTTCGAACCGCTAGGTTGGCGGGAGCTGGGACAAGCAACGGGCGCTCACTCCGTCGCGTGGATTCGATCTTACGACTGCTTGGTCTTCTGACCCTGCAGCACAGGCTTCTGCGGTTTAGCCCAAAGCGCCACCACGTCCCATTTTCTTCATACCTATATAGTTTCTAAGGTAGGTCATTGAGTTGAAACAGTGAGGTTGCAGGTTTGATTCTCCACTGTGCCTCCTGAGAGGTGAGCCAACCTGTGTGGCCTTGGGCAGGCTATAAGATCTCGGAGCATAACGAGTAGAAGAGAATGGTTGGCCATTTCTGAGTGCTCTGTACCTAGAAATCCCTAGAAAGAGTTGCCATAGGCCTGTGTGGCCTTGGGCAGGCTATAAGATCTTGGAGCATAACGAGTAGAAGAGAATGGTTGACCATTTCTGAGTGCTCTGTACCTAGAAAACCCTAGAAAAAGTTGCCATAGGTTGGAAACCATTTGACAACATGCAATAGTTATTGCATTTTTTCTAGTAGGGTGGATAAAAAGATCAATTTCAATCACAATTTGAATTTTCAAAATTTAATCCATCCTGGTTTCTAGACTAGAGGGGTCAGAGGAAATACTTGTGCAGAGCGCTCATCAGGGGCCTGGATCTGACTTAGGAAACTCAGTCATCAATTGTGGGCTGACCACATTCTTCACTGGTTGCTTGATCTTTCACTTTTACTTGAACTCCCATAATCCACTAGAGTGCTTTTATTTAAAAAGTCTGAATTTGAGCAATTAGTGCACAGCACTAAACCTCTGTGAACAGCAGTCTGTCCCTTTCCAGGCAATTCTTGCGGGAGAGGAAGGGGTTGGCAGAAAGAGAAAGAAAAGAGGGTAGCACAAAGAGAGAGAAAAAGATGATCTACTTGCTTTTGGTTCTGGCCTTGTCTGTGGCAGAGAATGTGACTCAGAAAAAGTTGCCTGTTTTTCCTGTTCTTGGCCATTCAGATAAGTGAAGTTATAGTATCTATTAGCAGATGAAAACTTCTTGTACCGGAAATAGTCTTTAAAACCCTGCAAACATCATTTTTCAAACTCAGGTGTTGACTGAACCAGTATCTAAATGGAGGAATGTTCGTGGGCATAACCCTTTGGTAAGTTCCAATGATTAATTTTTATTACTATTTCAGTGACATCATTTTGTCATCTCAGTTCTCTGAATACTGTTTTTCGAATTGCTGAAATGGCACCACCAACACAGGTGGATGCTACCAGCAGCTTAAGGGAAATTCAGAATTTTAGAGCATATTCAGCAGGGCATGGATCCTGACAGATAGGTGAAGAGGGATGAGACACGGAGTGGAGACTCTGGAATCCTCAGCAGCACCTCTCCATACTGCAACATGTTGTTGTTTTTACTTGTATCTTTGACTATAACAGCATGTAGATAGTGAGAATACAATTCAAAAACAACCTGGATAAAAATGCTATTTTTCTGTACATCAGGGCTTAATGTACCAAGATGCAACCCGGTGGGGGATAACATTACAAACATATGTGCAGCTTACTATGTTGGACCAGCACACAAGGCCGATGGTATGTTTGAGATGGTTTTTCTTTCTCTTGGTACTAGAATTCTCATTCCTGAATGAAACAAGGGCTTAGTATGTATAATTTGATCTTCCTCATTCTCATCTTGTACTACCGTTATTTGCTTCTTTTTCGTCTCCCATGATGAGTCCTCCCTTGTTGAAGTTTAAACTGTTCACTCTCTGTGGCAGCCAAATACTTAATTTAAATGGTTAAAAGGTAAAAATACTACACAGCTCTTGAAATTTTAATTTGCAGATTTCTCCCGTAAGAATGATGGAGAGGTCAATTCACAGTGCAAAATACATTTTTGTAGAAAACCTGTATCGAAGGTACAGTATCCAGCATTTTATTTTGTTTTATTTTTAGAGCTTGCTTTGTGTTGAGATTTAACTTGCACTTTATTTCTGAAATTTTGCTATGCTTTGTTAACCAACTTAATCTATTCTGATGGTTTTTGACTCTTTTAAGAAAAACAGCTAAGCTAAATGCAGTTAATTAAAATGTTAATGAAGATGGTAAAAAAGGTGAATTGTAGATCAAATAAAGCTCTCAGTCTCACAATAAATCTGTTCCTTTTTTTTAAAAAAAGGAGAAGTCTTGTATTTATGGCATGTGGAGAATATTGGCTAAATTCAGCAGCTTAACCTATCAAAATGAATTGGACTTCTAAACCACAGGGAACATAAGCTCCATTGATTTCAGTGGATCTACAGTGGTTGGGGCCAATCTTGGATCTAGCCCTGTATTCTGAATTAGGGTGCCCTATAGCAGTGGTTGGCAGCTTTGGCAGGTTGGTGGGCTAATTTTCTGCCTGATCCATCAAACATTGAAAAAGAGGAGCTCCATTGATTTCAGTGGATCTACAGTGCTTGGGGCTAATCTTGGATCTAGCCCTGTAATCTGAATAAGGGTGCCCTATAGCAGTGGTTGGCAGTTTTGGCAGATCGGTGGGCTAATTTTCTGCCTGATCCATCAGACATTGAAAAAGAGGGAGGAAGGGGGGCAGAGAGAGAGAGAGAAGTTAGAAATGAACAGAAATTTACTTTGAGAGAGAGAGAGAGAGAGAGAAGTTAAAATGAACAGAAATTTACTTCCAGTTTTGAAAACTGGTATTTTTGAGGTGTTAAATAGTGTGTGGGAAGGTGCGTACAGTACAATGTATTTAAAAGCAAAATGCATCTTTGGGAAGTTTCCAGGACCCATAATGCAATCTGTGGAAGATTTGTGGGGGGGCACACTTCTTCCCACTCCCCGTCCAAGAAGTCTGGATGTGAAGGGCCAGTAAAAACAGCATTGGCGGAGCCACATGCTGTCCCACGGCCACTCTTGGCCCAATCCTGCCCTGTAACAAGAGCCACATTCTTCTCAGTTGGCGTCCGACACCCATTTTGACTGTGTCAGTCATATGTAGCTCAAACGCTCAAGTTAACTGTTGTCGCCAAGCTAATAATGTGTTTTGTTTTTCTTGGCTATTCCTCCTAAGTAAATTTCCCCCTGATTCCCAAAGGTCTGAGAACTAGACATGCATCTGTCCTAAAAGCAGAGGGAAATCGGAAATCTACTTGTTAATCCACAAGGTGGCATCTGTGCTACATTGTCTCCAGTGAAATATATGTGGATTTGATTATGCAGATATATAATACCGTAGAAAAGTGCATCATTTGTCTCAGTAGTTGAGAAAGAAAGATGCATTTATCAGTTTTCCAATCACTTTTTTCTTTGGTTTTTAAAACATTAGTTTGATCCCAGTCCAACTTCGTGTGTGTGTATGGGGTAGAATTTGGAGGTACTGACACTTGTATGGTGTTGGAAGCCATGCATTAAAAAAATTATAAGCAAAGAGTTTTGAGATGGAGCAGTCTTAGTTTTTGTGTGCTTTTACTGTATCCGTGAAGTAATATGCAATTTTGGTTTTTGAATGTATGACTGAAAACCACAGTGCAGCAAGTCTAATATCTTTTGTTGCATTTTAAAATGTGCTTTTGATAGGATTAAGATGGGAAAATCACATCTTACATTTATTTATTTATTTATTTACTTACTTACTTACTCTGTAGTGAAGAACATGGTGTCGTTTGCCTTCATGAATTCCTCAGTTACATAAATTGCATAATGATCTTTTCTTTTTCTTTTTAAGTATATTTATTTGGATTTTTTGTGAAGAAAATTAACAGTCTCCAAGATAAAATAATCAAAAGATAACATCCATCCATATTTACAGGGCATGTGTTTCTAGAGATTTGCATTGATAGTAAGTTGGGAATTTGATGCAGTTTGTATTGGCATATTCAGTATGACGTGTTACATACCAGTCATTTGGATTGTTCATAGTTCTCAAAGTTGCAGGCCCTTAATATTTTTTTTATCTATATTATTTTGAACAGCCTAATAAATAAGTCAGCAAGGTAATTATGTAGCATTATTTTTAACCAGTCTGCCAGGAGATCCTTCCTGTTATTGTTTCTCTCCCACTGGACATGTTATGCCTATTTTGATTTTGAATGTGGCAATTCCAAACTTTGTTGTGCTCCATGCAAATCAATCTCCCAGGTTCCTTAGCTGAAACATTATTCTCTTTCCTGTGGATTCTCCCGATCACTTATATTATCTTGAATGATCAGCAATATTTGAAAAAATGTGTATTTTTTTGTTTCTCTTTATATAACCAAAATGTTGCAGCTTTCTGCATTTTATAACCAGAATCTTACCACTGTAGTGCACTGTAGTGTGTAAAGGAAAGCACAAGCAATGGGGATATTTTTGTTGCGGACCTGGCCCTCCCTTGGTTATGACTTGTTCCCGCAATTGGGCATACAATGGCCAGTTGTTTGTGCAATTGTCTTTACACAGGCAGTTTACCATATTTAGTCATTCATCTTAGGGCTTCTGGATTCACAGTCCTCTTGATCCAAGAATTTATTAGCATCTTGCAATAAATCAACATTTCAAATGCCTTTGTCTTCTTTTAGTTGCCTATGTTAAAACTCTTCAATTGGCATGGAATTGAAGAGTTTTAACATGGGCAACTAAAAGAAGACAAAGGCATTTGATGTTGTAATCCTCTTTGTATTTTCTGTCACCTGATTTTCAGCTTTCATTGTAGCTTTTTAATTGCTAAATACTGTAAGTTGTTAATTATGTGAACAGTGCTGAAAACCTTTGTTTGCAGTCACTGGCAGTCTTGAAGTCATTGGAAAAAACCATACAAAATGCTTCTCTGGTTCCAGTTCCCTCTCTTTACATCCAGGTTTGGGTAAAAGGGCACACACCCTCAGGATTTTATTTTGGGGCAGGGGAGATAATATTTAAAAAATTGTGCCATGATGAACAAGGACTGAGCAATTTAAGAACGTGACCCCCAGAAAAAATCTTGAACAGGCAGGACAAATGTACTACAAAATTGTTGTACAAAAGTGCTCCCTAAGTTCTGCTCATTCAACAGTTTACTTGATTGAAGGTGAATTTTTCACGACACTCTAAACCATAATTATTTAGGTGAGCCTAAGAAAACCCCACCCCAAAACAAAAGAAAACCAGACTGTTCTGTAACATGATCCCTGAAGAATTAAGATTTTGCGCAATGAGTTACAGTTAGGTTTCACACATTGAAGTTTCCGTTTAGTTGTGTTCTCTACCAGCTGAAAAGCACAGATGTATTTGAAAGGGTATTTTTCCATAGAAGTGATACAGTCATGTGTTTCATACGTATATCATATCTGCATGTTTCTTATCTATTACAGTGGAAAAATGCCAGAAGTGGATTATGTGGTATTGACAGAGTGGTTTGAGTGGATCATAAAAAACATGAATGTTTCAGTTGATCTGATAGGTAAAGTGGAGATTTGTTGTTACTGTTTTTGTTTTACAATGAATGCATTTCTGTAGCCAAATCCCTAGTGGATCCATAAACTGGCCAGCTATGGCGGTTTGCCTTATATTTAAAAGGGCTGGCACATAATGGAGCCACGATGTGTTTCACCTCTCTTTTCAAATGAATATTTTTATAGGTAGTGAGATTTACCTTTTTATATGCAGTCATGGCCAAAAATATTGGCACCCTTGGAATTCTGTCAGAAAATGCAACTCTTCTCTCAGAAAATTGTTGCAGTTGCAAATATTTTGATACTCAAATGTTCATTTTTTGGTTTGCGTTGGAACAACACACACACACACAAACAGAGAGGAAAATTCATATCTGATACAATCCCACACAGAAACCCAAAAATGCACTAGCCAAAATTATTGGCACCCTGTCTAAATTGTAAGAAATAATTGCTTTTCAAGCACGTGATGCTCCTATAATTTGTATTTAGACACACCTGTCAAAAGAGGTGTGGGCAATATAGTAATCACACTTGCAACCAGTTAAGATGGATAAAAGTTGACTCAACCTTTGTGTTGTGTGTGACACTGAGCACGGAGAAAAGAATGAAGTGTAAAGAGTCTGTGGATTTGAGAGAAAAATTGTGGAAAAACATTAACAATCTCAAGGCTACAAGTCCATGTCCATATATCTTAATGTTCCTGTGTCCACTGTGTGCATCTGCAGACACAAGGTACAACAGTGTCAGGTCGCTTTCTGAACAAAAAGGGTAGTAGAACCAGGAGGACACCACTGCTGACACGAAGGCATAAAAAAGCAAGACTGGAGTGTGCCAAAACTTATGTGACAAAAGCACAGTCCTTCTGGGAGAACGTACTGCGGACAGATGAGACAAAAGTAGAGGTTTTTGGTTAAGGACATCATGGGACTGTTTACAGAAAAAGAAATGAGGCATTCAAAGAAAAAAACACAGTCTCTACAGTCCAACATGGTGGAGGTTCAAAGGTGTTTTGGGGTCGTTTTGCTGCTTCTGGTACTGGATGCCTGTGTGAACGTTATCATAAATCCGATGATTACCAAAGACTTTTGGAGTGCAACGTAGTGGCCAGTGTCAGAAAGCTGCGTCTCCACTGGAGGTTATGGGTCTTCCAGCAGGACAATGACCCAAAACACACTTCAAAAAGCACTCAGAAATGGTTACAAACAAAGCGCTGGAGAGTTCTGAAATGGCCAGCAATGAGTCCAGATCTGAATCCCATAGAACAACTGGGGAGAGATTTTAAAATAGCAGTTGGGAGAAGGCATTGTTAAAATCAGAAGGCCCTGGAGCAGTTTGCGAAAGAAGAGCGGTCCAAAATTCCAGTAGAGAGGTGTAAGAAACTCATTCACAGTTACAGGAAGTGACTGATTTCAGGTATTTTTTCCAAAAGGTTTTAGATTTAGATTAGGCATCCTTCGGTCTCGAGAGACTATGGTAACATGCTCTGTATGGAGGACTTGGAACAGTATCTAGTGTCGCTGAGAAGGCCAATTTGAGTGTGACCATCCCTTCCACACTGAAGACAAATACAATCTGTCCCCTGTCCAGCTCCCTGATTTTGCTGGTTTCAGGACCGCCTCTTTGCCTCGGCCTGCTGGACAAGGGTCTCTTCAAATTGGGAGAGGCCGTGATGCACCGCCTGCCTTCAGGCTGAATGCTCAGATGTCAAGGTTTCCCATCTGTTGAGGTCCACTCCTAAGGCCTTCAGATCCCGCTTGCAGATATCCTTGTATCGCTGCTGTGGTCTCCAAATATTAAGGGTGCCAATAATTTTGGCCAGTGCATGTGTGTGTGTGTTGTGTGTGTACTGTGTGTGTGTACTCTCTCTCTGTATAATGACTTTAGATTGTTACCCCCACAACTTTTTTTAGTGTACAAAGTAACTACAGATTTAGTCATGCTTGGAGTCTTTGTAAGATGTGGTAGGTGATTTTCATCAAAAAAGCAGTGGACATGGAGAAAGTATTTGCCATCTCCCCAGCACTACTTCTTTCTTCATGTGCACATTTGTTTATTGTTTACACTTATATCCTGCCTTTTCACCAGTGTAGTCAAGGCAGCGTATGTGGTTCTCTGCCTTCCCATTTTATATTTGCAGGAACTCTGTGAGAGAGGAGAGGTTGTGTGAGAGTAACTGGCCCAGGATAACCTTTTTGAGTGCATGGCTTAGTGGAGATATGAGCCTGAATCTTCTAAGCCCCAGTACAATACTCTAACCATTCAGTGTCATGCAGCCAGAGGGGCATTTTTGTACACTCCCCTGGCACCTTTGATGCATGTCTACATCGTCCAAGATTTAAAAATTGTTTTGAAAAACGATCTGCTCAGGAAGTCTCCTCATGCCTTCTAGAGAGCATGGGAGACTAATTTGGCTATGAGTTGAGAGTCTCCTCAGCACTCCAGTGGTCTTGTCACTCTGCAATTTTTCTTTTAAAAGTATTTTATGGTGTTTGAAGGGCCATAAAGGCCAGTTTTTTTTTAATTTAACCGTTTTTTTAAAAAAAAACCCTTTTGTAGCAATATTTACAAAAACCTGATGATAAAATAATGTAATACTGTATACAAATTAGCCTTTGTGACCGTGCTTTGTCAGGCTTCTAGGAAATCTCCAAAAATGGTCCATGGTTGCGCTGAAGTGGCCACCCCTGCTCTAATGACTATACAGCATAGTTTTACAATCAAATAAATGCATCAGGGCTCCCCTTCCATGCATTGTGTTAACTCCTGAGGTGAACATACCCAAATGATGCACATATGGTACGTGACCGAAGTGCTAGGGTTATTCCTTTCTGAAGATTCAGAAGTTGGGTGGGAGTCCAGTCACACCTTAATAGACTTTTCCCTTTCTTTCTCT